TTGATGTTTGTTACCATTTGATGTCTAGTTTTAACCATGTTGATGTTTAGTTTACCATGTTGATGTTTAGTTTCCCATGTTGATGTTTAGTTTACCATGTTGATGTTTAGTTTACCATGTTGATGTTTAGTTTACCATGTTGATGTTTAGTTTACCATGTTGATGTTTAGTTTACCATGTTGATGTTTAGTTTACCATGTTGATGTTTAGTTTACCATGTTGATGTTTAGTTTACCATGTTGACGTTTAATGTATGCTGTGAGTGCTTTGCTTGTAGTATTTGTATTTAGATTTACCCAAGATTAATTGGTACCAGAATACGTAGACTATTCTGGAAAATAAAAACGGTACAGTTATGTATGCCTAATGCATCAGTCATGAGTCCTTTACATGCTTTTTTTAAACAAAATGTGCATCTAGTTTCTACTGGACGTAGATTTGACTCGAAAAACCACAAAGGCCAAAAAATGCTGGGGTTGGTTCTGCAACGTCCTGTAAAGGATACGCAAATAACTTTTAATTTTAAGTTTACCCAGTTTCTGACTAGTCAAACATGTTCCTGCTCATTTAACAATATTCTTTTTAAATCCCCTATTTTACAACATTAAGGTTGGGTCAACATTGTTTGGTCGGCGTCTGTGGCATAGATGTTGTGAAAGCGCTTCGTAATACCGGGGTGCCAGGTTCGATCCTGGCTGCGTTGGTTTCGTCAGTGGTACCGAGAGCTGACCGGTTAGGGCAATGGCAAACTACTAAAGTAAAATTAGCCTAGTAAAACCACAACAGCCAACAAATGCTGGGGCTGTTTCTGCAACATCCTGTAAAGGATAGGCAACTAACTTTTTTAAAACATTGTTTTGGGAAACCGCTCTGGTGCAGCGACTAGTCGCTCGCCTGTTGATCCGAAGCTCGTGAGTTCATGTCCTGACCGAGCGTGATTTTTTTCTTTTTAAACTGATTTTGGCTCCTACGTTGACGTTGGGTACCGAATAAAGACCTCAGAAGTAGAGGCGACCTGCTGGATGTTGACCTCATCATCAGCCGAATGCCAATTGGTCTATAAAATATAGGTCTTGCCCTATGTACCTATATACGACTAAAGGCGCAGAAATAGGTATCTTTAAAAAAAAAATACAATGTTTGGGACTTAATCTGCAGGTTTTAGTCCAGCTGTCATCGTGTTATCCCTATGGTAACAAGAATATACGAAGGGGCTTTAAAAGAAAACTTTATAAGTATGGTAGGAATTTAAAGTATATTGTTAATATTATTATGAAAGATGTCAGGTGTGTTAAGTACGTGACATAAAGATGTAAATAAACACAATATAGTTGTAATTTAAGAAAAACAAAGGAAATGTCCCTTTTCCACGCCTTTAGGCGTTTTGAGAATATAGAGCTAGACCTATATTTTTATAGACCAATCGACACTAGGTGGGTGATGTGGTAAGCATCACGCCGGCCGCATTTATTTCTTAGGACTGCACCTGGTACCCACTAAGGCTAGGTTGACCTGGAAGTCAAAGTCATTTTTGAAGTAAAAAAAAAAGTCTTGCTCCTCCAGGGCCCGAAACATCGACCCTGCGATCCGCAGGCGGGCGTCTAGCCGCCAACGCCGCGGCGAATCCTATGTAGTCGTAATAACAGCTTAAAAATGGCTGCCCCATTTATCGATATTCCATATCGGCGACGGTGTCGACCATTACCTCGCAGGTAGACGACATCGTCGCCCATCGAGACAGTATTTGGGTCCTTTGATCGCATTTAAAGTTTTTATTTGAAGCCCCTTTGTATAAAACCAGTATGTTGACTATTCCGTGTAATGAGAAGAAGAAAACTTAAGAACATTGTGACGTTAGGAAAGTTGGAGGGGAGAAGAGTTAGAGGGAGGCCGAGAGAAAAGATGCTGGACAGTCTGACATCATGGCATGGAGGATCATCTGTGTTGGAGTTGATTGAAAGTACACAGGACAGGTTTTGGATATAAATGACTACCAATGCCACACAGCATGGAGGGTCATCTGTGTCAAAGTTGATAGAAAGTACACGAGACAGAAGATTGTGGATATACATGACTACCAACGCCAAACGGCATTTGACTTCAAGAAGAAGAAGACTATTCCGTTATCACTGGCACCTTTCCATCGTTCTAGTCTATAGTGTTCCAATGTGCTGCTCATGCAACATGATCCCTCCTTGGCCTGTTTTGATAACCCTAAATAAAAACTAACACCAATACCTTTGTTGAAAATCCACAGGTGAACAAAACACTGAAGTCATTGTATCTGGCAGACAACAAGTTTAGTCATTTGGCAGGAAAACAGCTTGGAGCAGCAATAGGTACTGTCTTTAGATTCCACAAATTTCATTTTAGAACTATATTAGGGCAGGGAGATTTGTGATACTGCACACGAAATTAATAAATTTATTCTCTTTAGACAGTAAGAATATGAGTCTTCATTCAAAAATTGTTATTAATAATTTTTTTACTCAGAAAGAATTGGAAAATTTAGTCAGGAAGAATTGATATTTAGAGGCGGAGAATTTTGACTGAATATTCAGTTCTGTGTGCAAAGCACAACACGTTACACACATAAATTGATAACAAAGAACACATACCTCTAGCTGTGGCAAGCGGTTTTCCTGCCAGGTTACTGAATTAGTTGTATCTCACCATTGCCGGTTGTAAGCCAGGATGAGAAAAGAGGAGGGTTGACCGAGGGTCAAGCTCCCCCACCCTGTAAACATTTATTTACCTCAGAAACTTGCAGGGAAAAAAATGCCATTTCGCTAAACAAACTTGTCAAGTGGTGTGTGTGTACAGAGTGCACGAATGACGGTTACTGATGACAGCCCCTATGCAGAGGTAAGTGGCCAGACATGCACACTGTTTGACTCAAACATACCACTAGAGTAAGTTTCTGGAATGTTAGGACTATGGCGCAGGCAACAAAATCCACCCAGGTAGCAGAAGAAACGAAGAGATACCGACCAGACATTTTAGGGTTAAGTGAAGTTAGGTGGCCAGCGGCAGATAAAAGAGTTGATAGTGGGCTTACTCTGAAATTGTTATCCACATCACGGACTGTTATAGAAAACTATAACTTCAACCCAAAGAACTAGTGCAAATCACAACCTATATCTTAGCATAGCAAAAACAAAGATAAAGGTTACAGTTAAAACTATTATGGAGAAGGAAATATGTGTTAACAAGAAAAGATTGGAGGTTTTTGACAATTTTGAATATCTGTCACATATCACTCCTGTCACATGCCTGATTTAAGGATTTCTCCTTAAGAACCAGCAGCACTCAGAAATAATTATGTTGAGTCGTTTGGCTCGTATTGGTCTAAGGGATTCCCCGTGGCCAATATACGCTCAACTTATTTTTGGAGTAGGGCAACTCAAGTTTTGGGACTACAATAGGAATAAACTCACAGGGAGCAAGTACAGCAGGGATCTACCAGTCGTCAGTAGAAATTATCCTCGTCGACACGCGTTTTGGCCCACGATTCCTAGACGCATTCGGAGGTGGTCCCTCCTGAGTTCATGAAGCTCAGGGCTGGTTCCCTGCTGCACGGGATTACCGGATGGTGTTTTACGTTCGGCCAGAGACAAGACGACTTGGTGGTTTCGCAGAAGGTACTGTGAGATAAGAAGCCGCCGCGGCAGCCTAATTAAAGCAGTCAGCATGCCTGGACGACCGAGCGACAAGCTTACTTTGGTTTACCGGACACATGTTGGACTTTTATTAGCAGTTGGCAGAGGAACACTGGCAGACAATTCGGACACGATGGACTTTCAAAGGGGTGAGAAACCCTTTTCCACTAGACACCCGGACCAGCTCACCGAGGCCCGTCACCTACGTTGTTGCGCTGCGTCCAAAGCCAGCTAGAGGCCCTTTCGGCTACCTCTCCCAGTTTTTTGAGTGTTCGTTTCCGTTCATTACCGCGCAATCCTAGTTCTTTAACCACATTGTAGAGCGAAGTGGAAACGAGGCCTCTCGCTCCCACTTCGACGGCAAATACCCGTACTGTGAACGCCTCGTTTCTCCTTAGACCGGCTGCTAAATCACTGTACTTCTCGAGCTTGTACAAATGATTCTCCTCCATACGCGACTCAAACGGGACGGTCAACTCAATCAGGATGAGCTGCCGTTTTTGCGCAGAATGGAGAACGATGTCCGGTCGCAGGCTGGTCTTACGAATCAACTCGGGGTACCGTTCATGGCCTGGCAGATCAACCGCCAGTAACCAGTCCATCGCAGAGTCTAGCACAGATGGAGCGAATGCGTTTTGGTTGACCTTACCTTTTGGAACCTGCCCAGCCTTGAGGAAACGAATGGGGACGATGCTAGAACTGGCTCTGGCGTTAGCCCTCATTCTAGCCTAGTCGACAACGGCTGCTAACTCTTTAAGCACCTTGTTGTGTCGCCACGTGTATCGGCCTTGACCTAGGGCTTTCCTGCACGCGGACAGGACGTGCTCAAGAGTTTGCTTCGATTTGCACAACGGGCAAGTCGGATCGTTGGTCGCTGGACACCCCCACTACTATTAAAGAAAGCCCCCCGGTTATGACAGTTTATTATCATAACCATGTTAACACATATAATATTTATGATTCATACACACAACAATGCTAAACGCTTAGAAAGGTGAAATAGAGACACCTAAGTCAACCATGAAAATGAATGCATGTAATCAATACAACCTATATATATATATATAAAAATCAATGTTTGTGTGTTTGTTTCACCCCTATAGACTCGGAAACTACTGAACCGATTTAGCTGAAATTTTCAGGATATGTTTGTTGTGATACCGGATTTTGAACCGTCGTGGTTTGAAATTCAACCTGTCACTCTTAGAGATAGGTGACCACAATTAATGCTAAAATATACGCAACTAATATTTATAACTTTAGTGATTTCTAATTATAGCCACGTTAGTAATTGCGCATGCGCCGTATTTACCATTCGCCGGCGAGTTACGTGCAGCCAACGCCTTCTCTAATACTAATACATAGAGTAGGTCGTGGTACAGCAAACAAGACTATCTCTATATTTGCCACAATAACCATATTAAACACGATTTCTATTTTCTGTTTTTTTTTAAAAACAACCTTCGATGGGGGGGGGTGGGGGGGGGGGGGGGGCAATCAGTCAAGGGACTATCTCGACGTCAGGGGAGACAGTGACTGCGACATTAACTTCATTACCGTGTTAGACACGTGCGATTTCTATTTCATTAATCTATCTGGAGTATCTGTCTACGAGAAAACAATTGCCTGCGGTTTTGAATTGTGTTTTAATCGCGACACAGTGGTAGGGACACATATGTCTAATAGTTGTGTTCTCTTTTCGGTCTTCCGATTAAGTGGCTGCTTGGTCGAATGGTTAGAACACTGGGTTCAAGTGCGGTAGACCTGGGTTCGAATCCGCGGTAGTTAATTTTTTTTTTACCCCGGACTAAAATAATATCCTCATCTGCTCTGTCGTGGTGACAGCACTAGCCATGTTGCCTTAATAAAAAAAAAATAAAAAAACCAGTAAATGGGTAAACCATTTGATAATTAAATTTGACCATTTCGCATACTTATGATTGCGTTGTTAAACTTTCCGATTGCATGGTTACGCTGAAATTTTATAGATTTTCATTTATTTTCATTTAGATTTAGTTATTTCATCTGTGTTGGAATTTTAAGCTGTGCTGTTTACATGGCGTTCATTTCCTAATTATGGTGGTTTTTTTTCCTGTGTTCATTTGCTTTTCAAGTGTTTTTTTTTTTTTTTTTTTTTTTTGGTAGCCCTATTCACTACCTTTTACAATTCCTGCTCCTTATTTTAGTCCAGATGGACAGGGATGTCAATGTCAGTTACAGCAACAACAAAATATCGCCAGTTAGTGATTTTCAAATCCTTCGAAGAGAGAGAGAGAGAGCAGTAGTCGGTGGAAGAGGGGAGGGGAGGGGGGTAATGACTTAAATTTAAGAGAACTTTAAAAGCTTTACACGTGATTTTCAAGTTCTCATTACCTAATTTGTTTATATTTTACTAACGCTACCTCCGCTTTTATATTTTTTACGATTTACTTTGTTATTTACAAGTACAGTTGTAGCTTTACTTCCGTCTCCTATAAAAATACAAACAGCTTTAGCATGTGATAACCAAATAACCACTTTTGTAACCAGTTTTATTAGCTTTGGTTTAGCTGTTGCTCTGTACATCGCTAGCGTGAAGCGAAGACACATTTCTATGTTCTCCATTTTCCATGAAGTCAAATTACGCCACAGCAACGCGTGGCCGGGTACAGCTAGTATATATATATATATATATATATATATATATATATATATATATATATATATATATATATATTAGTGAAGTAGATGCCAGATCTCAGTGGATGGATCCCATAATACAATGACCAGACTCAACAAAAATCTAAACAGCCAGAAAGTCCTGGTGGTAACACATTCTCATCCTCTGAATCCATTGGAGCGGTGGGGAATATAGCATGATATAGACATAAACTGGACTTATCCTAGTTCTACTGTTGATGCTTCCCTCAGCTCCTGGTGATTCGACTGTCTATGACTCTGGTACTTCTGCTTTCAATGGATCAGGTAGTAGAGGAGTACCTCACCATCGAGGACACAGACACTGTATAAGTACTCAGCACGTCTCTCCCACCGGTCAGGTCACAAAACTGTCTCTGAGCTACACCCAGCTCCTGAAGACTGGTCTACTCGAGTATGGGTATACTCTCTATAAATGTTCACCTGCCCTGGAGTCACTCACATGCTCTGACACTGTTAGAATGTTTGGGGTATATGGCACCCCATAGTGATGATGCCAATTCTTCACTGGTGTTAGCTGGTGGGTAGTTGGTTGATAGTTGGTTGGTGGGTGTTGGTAGTTCTGTGATTCTTCTGCCAGCTCTTCACAAAGGTTTCATCCGAAGCATAGGAAAAGTTCTAGACACTACAGGCCGCCTTCTTAAATTGCAATTTACTGTCGATGGATACATCTGATCTCCAGGAAAGCCGGCAGAAACAAATTCAAGTTAGGCGTCGGTAAGAAGAAGTTCCTTGTATACATGAGCAAGGAGTAAACCGGTTTCCAAGAGTATTCAAATAACTCTAGCAATATTTATCATACAGTTGCAAATTTGAAAATGACGCTAAGTCAAAGCAACTAGAAGATGTAGGCATTATAATTTTATCCGATAAAGGCATATATCGATATAAGGGACTATATACCTTTCCAGACGAGTCCAAGTTTGAAAGTTTTGTCGAGCACAGGTAATACAGGTCCCGACTCTTTTGCGGTAATATGTGATGGCTTGTCATTCCTTGACAATATCTTATGTCATTGATTACCAACAATATTGACATAATGAAAGAAACTATGAGAGACTATAAATTGCTCTTCAAAGACTACAACAACTGAATAAGTTATGGAGTGGGACAGTCTGCCAAAATTACATTTCTAAGAGCATGCATCTAGAACCTATTCTGCTGTATTGTTGCAAATCTTGGAATGTCAGTGAACAAATTAGGCAGAATTCGGAACAAACAGAGATGTGGTTTCTGAGAGGAAGGTTACGACTATCTTGGACGGCCAGAATAACTAACAACGATTGCTTGAAAGAAGCTTATGAAAGTAGATCTCTATACACAACAATAAAAAAAAAGACAAACACTGTTCTTTGGCCACATCATGAGAAGAGAGACATTAGAGAACATCGTGACAACTGGAAATATTAGTAGGAAAAGGAGTAGAGGCAGACCAAGAGAGACAATTCTGGATGGGCTGAAACGATGGCATGGAGGGATATCATCAAGAGAGCTGTTCCAGGCAACCAGGGATCGTGATCTGTGGAGACGTATGAGCGCCTATGCCAGTTGGCATGGCACATGATGATACGTAATGTGACAATTCGTGTATTAAATAGTTCGCATTTACTTTTGAGTATTATTTCATCTTTAGGGCAGAACGAAACGCTTGAAACACTGGATCTCAGTTGGAATCAGTTTAGAGAAGGAGGGGCGGCAAAGTTGCTGGAGGGAGTCAAGGTGAGTGCAATGGTAGCCTAGAATATCGCGAGTCCGATGTATAATCAGGCAAGGGCGCCGAAATAGGGGAAGCACAGGGACAAGAAGGAGAGGGGGCGGAAAAAAAAGGGGGGGGGGTGGGGGGGTTCACATATTTTGTTGATACGGCAAAGAGGGCCTACAGCTTATTTACGCTAAAAATGACGACGACGATGATAGTCTTTTGAATGCAGATAAGTATAAAACAAAAATTGAAAAGGAGAACATCTATACATAGTTAAGGCGTTAAAGAGCTTTGCCTTTATAGAAATTCGGGGTCAAGATTTGTGAAACTACTCACGAAAATACACACATCTTTAACTTTCTGTTTTATAAATAGTTTCAACAAATAATTTATTTACAATTAAACTGAAACAAAAAATGTCAGTAAAACATTATTATAAGATCAAATTTACTCAGTGTTAAAATTGCTTGACGCCTCTTTGAGACTTCTCTGCGCCACTCCTCCTCTTTTGTAGTGTTGTAGTTCAACATCACTCCTTTACTTCCCATGACGTTCCTGCCACCAACTTTAAGTTGCCGATCTGCGACCTCTGTCGATTACAAATACCCGCGGATTCAAACAGAGGACCTTTGGGCAGACAGGCAAGCAAACACAGATTGCTATAGCTCCAATGATATTTTTATTTTCATATTCTGCTACAAGTAATAATATACATATAAGCTATTGTATCCCGCTGTGTACAGTTCAGCTCGTTAAATCTTTTCAGCTATCTTACTGTACGTATGTTAGTCGCGGTCACGAGAAACGAGTAACCAAATAATTCATCTCTTCCTGTGCCGGCGAAAACCCCACAAAATGTCAATCACTGCCACCTAGGAAAACAGTTGAAACAAATCGCAGTCACGGAATAGCCAGAAAAAGAAAGCGTACACATGCATTTAGTACATAAGGTAGCCTTCAGAAGTGCTGTCACAAAGCAGTCCGCAACTAGAATTACGAGCTCATTGTTGATTGAAGCAGTTGTTAGGTTGCCCTATGCCTTCAATGATAGCGAGTGCTATTGGCTATGCGGAAACTGCGGTCTTTATATTGTTCACAAGGTTTGGCAAAGTTGTATTGCTATGTGGGTTTCGCTGGCATTGGAACAGAGCATTTATGAGGCTACTTCATCTTCTTCTTCTTCGCGTTCACCAGCTGTACACTCTGGCGGAAAGTTCTGGTTGATCGTCCACTACTAAACTGCAGTCCTGCTCCAGAACCTGAGTGTTGCGTGTGCATCAGTTTTACAGAACTCATTCTCTTGAATACAGACTGTTGGTTCCTTGCCTCTCCGGCAGATGCACTCCGACTTCAAAGAAAGCTCCCCAATTAGTCGACTCTTACGACATGCTTTTGGGGAGGTAGTGGGTCTATTCTTTTTTCCCCCACAATGGGACCCGGAACCCACACGGGGGATGAGGCTACTGATTTGACGTGTTTTTGGAATTGCGATTAATTCATTAACTGGCAGTGAAAACTCTTCCAGCATTTATAATATATCAAAGTTTGCAATACAAATGTGCTCTTTTAATATTGTATAATCTATCGGTTTTCAGTGCTAAAATTAAATACAGGACTGAATGTCTTTTGTTTTTTAAATGCATTCTTCTAGGACAACATCGGCCTGAAGACACTTAACTTAGCCTTCAATGCATTCAATCATGGTGCATGTAAGCCAACTCAATCACTGGGTACAACCTTGTCAGGGAACTCGACTCTTCGCTCACTGGATGTTTCCAACAACAGACTCTCCGATTCTGACCTTTTTATGGTGGCCAAGGGTATCAAGAAAAATGAAACTCTGGAAATCTTAAAGGTGAACAAATATTTTCATTTATATCAGCGGTGTTCAAAGTGTGTTATGTAGGCAAAGAAGTGTAATGTCATATTTCTTGAGAAGCCATATAGAAGTTTCGAAGATCCTTATCAAATTCATGTAGCAGGTTCTTTAGAGGGTGCATAGAACTATATTTTAGAAACCAGTCTTCACTCGATGGGTAATGTGGTCAACATCACAGGGGCCGCCTTAACTTCCAGTGACTTTATCTGGTGCCCAATTAAGGCTGGGTCGAAATGGGAGCCAAAGACTTCAAAAAACAAATTCAACTCAGTCGGGACCTAAACTTACCTCTTTGAGATCCGCAGACTAGCGTCTAGCCGCTTCACATGGGGGTAGGGGGCCTCCCAAATAGTCAGGTAATTAAAAAAAAAAGAAGGATCTTGCACAATCACACAAACATACACACACAAACACACACATCAACGCTATGCCATCTTCAGAAGACAGAAGGGAAATAAATCACGACAGAAATAAAATGTTTACGTACTGTGCTAGGTGTAACGAGGAAATATCGACTTAGAAAAGTTGATATCAGGAGGAGAGTCGGCACAGAACCACAGTGAACTTATTCGATAGACAACAGATCAGGTGGTTTGACCAAGATTGATATCAGACAGGGCACCTTACAATGCAATGTTTTACAGATATAACGAACAAAGCCGGTGGGCTACCAAGCAGAATATGTATCGGTCTGTCTGTCTGTCTGTCTGTCTGTCTGTCTGTCTGTCTGTCTGTCTGTCTGTCTGTCTGTCTGTCTGTCTGTCTGTCTGTCTGTCTGTCTGTCTGTCTGTCTGTCTGTCTGTCTGTCTGTCTGTCTGCCTGCCTGCCTGCCTGTCTGTCTGTCTGTCTGTCTGTCTGTCTGTCTGTCTGTCTGTCTGTCTGTCTGTCTGCCTGCCTGCCTGCCTGCCTGCCTGCCTGCCTGCCTGCCTGTCTGTCTGTCTGTCTGTCTGTCTGTCTGTCTGTCTGTCTGTCTGTCTGTCTGTCTGTCTGTCTGTCTGTCTGTCTGTCTGTCTGTCTGTCTGTCTGTCTGTCTGTCTGTCTGTCTGTCTGTCTGTATATAAGCAGTCATTAGGGTTTCGGACTCAAATATAAATTGCGATTTGAACTAGATACTTTATACAACATCAGCAACAGTCTGATTAGTCAATCAGATGGTGCACACACAAAAAAGAAACATTTGTTTATGTGTGGCTAGTGTCATGCATAACGCAAAAAATACAACAAATGATGAAGACTATGAAAATTACACATCTGAATATTTAGGCTCTATAATAAACTGGAATGTAGACTGTTGAACTGAAGTCAAAAGTAGTATGGTCGTAGCAGTACTAAGATACATCATTAAAAGTCAATGCTCAACCACCATCAAGGAAATCAGTGTCAACTTTTTGAGAGAGCCATCTTCCCTGTAGCAACATAGGGTTGTGAGTCGTTGATTATCACATTATTTCGGAGGAATATCTTCGATTTTGAGCTGAAACGCCGTAGAAAGACTCTCAGAAAACCATGAAGCAAGAAGAAAAGACATATTCTGTAGTCTTCCTATGAGATATATTGTAATGACATGATCCATGAATTTCAGATCGGACAGAACGTGGTCAGTTATCGTGGAACAGCCGTTTTGATCAAGGTTGTGGTGTCTAGCGAGAATTGTAGGATAACTCTCTTAGACATGACGGTAAAATATTTTTTTTTGTTTATTCCCCTTAATATTGCTTGCTTACTTGTTGTACCCCACCAAGACGTGACACAAGCGATAAACAACCTGTGACACAAAGCGCCAACATGCGGTCGAGGATCGTCCGTGGAGAGGTCCCAGAAAAACCTTTCGTCCGTTATGGCCACAGTTGTTCCTCCAGCTATATTCAGGGCCCCCGGCAAAAGTCAGGGTAGGGCTTCAGATAACGAAACCCTTTATATCGTTTTAAAGACGACTGCAAGAATTGTCAAAGGACATAAAATACAGTGTTACGGAAATGTATAACATCTTCAGTACCAATAAATCGATTGACAGCATAATGCTTGCATTTATTTTCTTAGGCCTTCTGTCTTTACCGACCTCTCCAAAATGAATAAAAGTGAAATGTTATTTTTGTTTTCGTAACATTCATAACCCTTGACTCGTTAGGGTCTAGGAATGTATCGATGGAAGCTCTAGAACATAAATCCCGCCATCTTCCTCTGTCTTCCGCTTGATGAATAAGTGTATGATAATTTAGTCCTGTTCATTTCTTGATATTGTCATTCCATAAATTTCTTTGCCCTTTACTTCTTCTTCGACTACCCCCCCCCCCCCCCAACCCATGTTTCTTGACGTACAGTATTTGCAATCGAATCACGTCTCACCACATGCCTGAACCAAGCTAGCTCGCGACGTTTTACCACTGCCCAGAGAACTCCTGTTGTCCTACAAATTTGTATATTTTTTCTGTGACATATTTGTTGGTTTTATGTTCTAAATAACTAATTCGTAAAATGCACCCATACTATTTACATTCGTATACAAAACTAAACAACACTTTTTTCATAAGAAAGTTTGCAAGGAAGCAGCCACAACTAATAATATATTAAGCCCAGTTTAAAATATTTTGGATGTTTCGTGTTTTTACAAACATAGTACTATACATTTTTGTGTGTGGCTATTGCTGCTTCCATGCCCAGTGTTTATTATATTTCGACGCCCCAGGTCATATGTTTTATATAATTTCAGGATTTGCCTATAGCCAAAGATTCCTTAAGTGACGTGGAGATTTTAAGATCTAGAGGAGTGAAAGTCGTTCATGGACCCGTGCATCAAACAGAAACCAAGTTTGATTCAGAATCACCAGCCACAAAAACAGATAAGAAACGTAATGAAAAAAACTTGAAGAAAAAGAGATAAAATTAGGCGTGTAATGCTTGTCTTGGATCTCGTTTACAATATTCTCTCGTTATTCATCTTGCCTTTTCTTTTTAAATTAAAAACGGCGGCAAATGCTCAATATAAGGGTCTGTAATATGCTACGTTTCTTTTAAAACCAAAAAATTCCTATGCAATCTCCATATTCTTGCATTCTCACATGATCTTGGCATTTGGTCAGTTGTTAACCTATGTAATATTGTTTTTTATGCATTGTGTATGGCCTAATATAATATTGTATTTTTTCATGTATGATCGTATGTACATTTTTTTGTATTACTTCTTTTGTGACCTCAAGTAGTATCGTTTCGTATATTTTCTCATGCATGAACTTGAATATTTTTAATCTGTGCGTACCGCCTATAGAAGTATTCTATATTTTTCAATTTATAATTGTCTGCACTCATTTTGTATTCTCTCAAGCATGTTCACATTTTCTACAAAGTATTTAATGTATATAATGTTAGGCATTTTTCGCATTCCTTCATGAATGTTTGTAGGTGTTTGTTTGACTTCTCTCATCTATGATCTTTTTATTAGATGTATGTCTACAGGACTCAGTAGAGGAAAAGGAAAAGAGGCAGGTCGAGATAAACCTAGATGCACAATGTGACTGACAGGACAGGCCTCGAATGTAATTAGTTAGTTAAAAGACCAGTCATCTTCACCGCACATCGGATAAGCCGGAGTAGAGACAAGAAGGAAAAGAAAGGATCTACAGTAAAACTACGATTAACCATCACCTGTTTAACCGTCAGTTTATGTTATCCGTCATCGTCTGAACATCGTCTGGTCGGTTATCAATATCAGCTCTGGTCAGGACAGTGTCGGTTAATCGAAGTTTTACAGAATTCCACTCTGCTGGCACTATTACTAATTCCGCACCAGGTTCTATATGCTAAGTGAACAAATTTGTCCGTGGCCCTGAGCCATCAAAGATGTTCCCCTCCTTAACCTGCCATTTCTCTTCCTGTGGGTCGCATTGTGCGGTGGATGATGTGTGTCGACGCTGACTCTCTCAGACATGCACGTGCGCGACAGATCACACCGTCTACATGCAGGTCAGGAGTAAGACGGCAATTAAAACACTTGTAGGGACTTCAGTGCACAAGTTCTCTCCATGCTCTCTAAACACAAACTCACAGTTTTTATAATTCATAGACACAGATTGCAACTATCTCCCCTGTTGACACACAAGCAGATACCTCGGAGTACAAAAGTGAATCTTATCAGAACTATTTTTCGGCCAACACTATGCTATCAATGCCAAAAGTGGACGCTTACATCCCCCAATGAACGTAAAATTGTGACAACAGAGATTAAATGCATTAGAAGAGCTGCAGGAGTTTCAAGGAAAGACAGAATTCGAAATCATTAAATCAGACTAATGCTAGGAATAAAGCCAGTCTTACAGGTCATCAAAGAACAACAAATTAAGTGGTTTGGACACCTATCTGCCACAGCGAGCCAAACTAAAACGTGACAACGGGTATAGAACAAGTGGGAGACCTCGGAAAATATGGAGTGATGGCATTAAGAACAGCCTTACAGAAATGAACATCAGTCTTAATAGTGCTCTTGACAGAGCTCATCAACGAACATTACATCTCCCCCGACACTTCGATGAGGTACAAGGTGGAAGAGAAGAAGAAGAAGAAGAAGAAGAAGAAGAAGAAGAAGAAGAAGAAGAAGAAGAAGAAGAAGAAGAAGAAGAAGAAGAAGAAGAAGAAGAAGAAGAAGAAGAAGAAGAAGAAGAAGAAGAAGAAGAAGAAGAAGAAGAAGAAGAAGAAGAAGAAGAAGAAGAAGAAGAAGAAGAAGAAGAAGAAGATAGACACAGATTATTCAAAATATATTAATTAAGACATGAAATATGCAAATTTGTGTATTTAAATGTCACATACTTTTTTCTTGCCACTTTAAGGGTGATATATATATAAAGTCACGTAAACTTTATGATCCTAAGTAGTATTTTACATTCTTTCTTTGTGATCTTGGGGGCATTTTTATAACGTCTCTCATAAGACTAAACAGGGGACTGTGTAGTCTCGATGTATTGCAAAGGCCTCAAATGCTGGAGGTGCCGGTTTCAAGCCCCGGTGAAAGCTGGGATTTTTTCACATGGACTTCTAGTAATTTCTCCTGGTCTCTGGTAGTAAGACTGAACGCCGGTGTGAATTGTCGTGCATGTAAGAGATCCCTTTGCGGTTGGGTGACTAACTGACTTTCTACCCCACCAGGACATCACACAAGCGATAAACACCCGATGACACAAAGTGCCACCATGTTGGTTAGGATCACTGTGAAGAGGTCCCAGAAACCGCGTTCAGACAATTGGCCATATTTATGGCCTGCCTATATTGCGGCCCCTGGCGAAAGCCAGAGTGGGGCTTCAAATAACAAAAATTTGCAGTCAAAAATCTACCCAAAGTGCATTACAGGATGCTCTCCGGTGCAACGGAATTTGTGCACTGCGCTTGAATTGGGCTTGAGTAAGAAGTAGAACGGAGCAGTTTTTGGGTTTACATCCGTTTGCAATGATGTTGATCCGTCGACTAAACTAAACTGAACGAAAACATTTTATGAAAATAAAATGTACGATAACTCTTATAAGCAAAAGGCTAACATTTTTGTGTTTACTCCCCTTAGTAAGGCAAGAAACTTCTTCCAGGTCCTTATGTTTATTGGGCGTATAGGGCTAGACTGATAATTCTTAGACCAATTAGCACTTGGTGGGTAATGTGGTCAACATCATGGGGGCAGCCTTTACTTTCCAGGACAGCACCTGGTACCCACTCAAGGCTGGGTGGACCTAGGAGTTAAGGTCATTTTTGAAGAAAGCCTGGTTCGGTAAAAACCCGAACTCACGATTTTCCAATCCGCGGGCGAGCGTCTAGCCGCTACACCACGGCGAATGTTCCCTAATGTTTTATTATAATACAAACAACTGCCCAGAATGTAATGAAATGGCGGAATAGCTGCGACTCCTGTCTGAATGAAGTATATTCAGCACAACATGATGATGGTCATCTTAAAATAGTCCGTCAAATTGTATATAACTTCACGCGGCCAATTAGTTAGTTAGGATCCTTTGGACATTTTCTCCAGGTCATGCCGGTGTGTTATGAAAAGAACAGGCAGATAGACTGGCTAGTTTTGCACCATTTGGTGGTGAACTGATGCATGAGAAGCTAGATATTGTGAGGGCCCTTTGGGAACGAGGGAACAGTGTGGATGCGCATATAGATCATTACGGTCTGAGGAGAATGGCGCTGCGATGTGTTACCAGGGAATGTGGCCGACGCTCAACACTCAGGGGAATGATGAGTCGGATCAGACGGCTACTAGCGACATCGGAATTGAAACTCTTCGCTTGCTGCTGAAGATAGGGACGGAGCACTTATGGGGGCGTCACGAGTGTTGTGATGTCGATTCTTAATTCAACATTAAACAACATTTAACGCAGCCCTATTGTGGGGGAAGGGAAGAGAAAATCTTTCAAGTTTTTTGTGTGTTTCAATATGTCCTAGTTTGTGTCGTCTCATAACAAGGCCAAAAGAATCATATTTTTCGAATTTTCGGATAAAAGCCTTTACCTCTTTCACAACGTCTAGAGAACTTCTTACGTGATCTACCCATAGAATATTAGGAAATCTTCTGTCAAACCACATCTCTGTGAGCTCAATAAATAGTTTGTCTTGTTTAATACTTGTCTATGATTACCAGTCATATGTTAATATATTGTGTGCGCTTACAAGTTAATGTTTTGTTTTGTTTTGAACACCTATACTGCATAGAATGTACTGTTTTTAGGAACCAATAAAACATGAATGTTGTTTTTATACCACCTCCGTTGTTACCTTTGCTCTAATATCATCTTCATTATCACCAACTTGACTGACTGCATAATGCTCGTACTTATGTTCTTAAGCCTTCTGTTTCCGATTTCCAAGTCTAGACTCTCTTCCAGGTTATTATTTCAACTTTTGCTGTTTTCCTTCCTCCTGTATCTGTTCTTCTAATGTCTTTATCGCATCGGTTTTTCTCGTCGTTGATGTTATTTTTGTTGTTATTAGTGTTTTTGTTATAATTTTTGTTGTGGTTATTTTTGCTGTTGTTACTGCATTATTCAGTATTTATCTCTGCTATACTAATCCCTGTATACCCACAATCTGTACACCTTCCAACACACATGTCTATGTAGAATTATCAAAGTTTTCTGGCCAGATACAATCTTAAACACTAAACTACATCAAGTCACAAACTAAGAAACGTTAGACAGTATGATAACCAAGAGAAGATGGAAATGGCTTGTCCACGTTATGAGAACGAATCCTGATATACCTGCCAAAACAGCTCTCACGTGGACACCAGAGGGAAAGAGAAAACAGGGGCGCCCAAAAACAACATGGAGACGAACGATGGAAAGTGACATGAGTGCAGCATCTTAGACATGGAAAACTGCACTGAAGATTGCACAGGACAGGAAAGCATGGAAAGTCCTCTCTGAAGCCTTATGTGCCACTAGGCATAACGAGAACTGATGATGTTACTAATCCCTATACGTGAAGATATATTCTTGCAAAAAATATTTATTATTTCCCTTGTCCGACTCGTAAGCCAGCATACGGCGATCGAAACCCACTGCAGGCTGCGTGGATTTTTGTCGTGGTATGGGACGTCGCAGGTCGACCCAGCCTAAAATGGGTACCAGGATGGGCTGTCCTGGGAAAGTAAAGACAGCCGGCGTAATGCTGACCACATTACCCACAGAGTGCTGATGGTAGAGTGCTGATGGTCTGTAAAAATATGGGACGCTCTGACCATATGCCCGATGCGCCGAAAGGCGTGAAAAGGGAACTTTACTTTTTTTTTTTAGTTGTCTACTGCTACCTATCTTTAGCATGTGTTCCCCTGTCATAATTACGATGTTGGTCGTTTATTCACTTTAGGTAGTGAGTGCAGGAACTGGCCAGCTGGTGTTG